GCCGCTAAGCGGCCGCTCGCTGCCACGCATCGCGGTGCGGCGGCTCCCGCGCACCCAGCGAGTGTCCGGGACGCCCAGGCGCGGCGGGAGCCGGCCTCCCGCTCTCGGGGAAGGCACGGCCCGTGCGGTGCCGGCACGCCTGGCTGGCTGGTGGCCGGCAGCCTGCTGGGGCTGGAGCCCTGCCCTTCGTGCCCGGTTTACGGCGCTTTTCATCGGGAGAGAAGCGCGAAGCACCTCGTACAACTCTGTAGCTTAGGAACAAGTGATACGGTAAACCCGGCTGCACAAACCGCTTTAGTTTGGGGGGGCCACAGGACAGGTTCTCTAGTTTGAAATTCCAGTGCTGGCCAGGGGCAGTTCGGGTGTTTCATAATGTCTCGGGTTTATCGTGGGACCACCACACCTGATGTATGAAATTTCATACATTTCACACGCTTTGAAATGCGTGTATGCCATCCCGAATCGGTGGAAAAGCCTACGTGTTGTAGCCATCTAGTTAGCTGAACGCAGAATGTAGCGTGCTGTGCAGATAGCCTTCACAATATTTCTGTGTTGATGTCAGTGGCCACAGTTTAAGAAACATTCTGTAAAACTAACACAAAACAGAGAAAAAGAAACAAGAAGAAAAAAAGGTGAAAGTCTTAATTCTTTCATTACTGCTTTTCTTAGAGTGAGCCTGTACTCTGCCAAGTTAAAGACAACCTTCATACTGCCTGTTCAGTCTCAAAAGTGCAGTAGGGATATGATCATTGGGGGAAGAATTGTAGCAAACTGGATAATTTCCAGTTATTTCATTTCCATGATACATAAATTTAAGTGCCTAGTATCTAGAATATTGGAAATACGTTTGTCTTTTTACATTAGCATATACTTACCTCCCTATGTACCGTGTTTTGACATTTATATGTATAAAAACAGCTTAAAGAATCATACTGAGATTTTGTCACTCTGTTCAATGTGTACAGTGAACTTGCAGTTCTTTTTATGTATATCAAGCATGACCGTATCTCACTGAACATGCCTTCTTAAATGCTGTTTGTGGGGTCAAATCATCCAATCAGCAAGTTCTAGTCTACAAACCACTGGTTTTAATAGAAAATAAATATATATACGTAACAAATAAACATATGTAGTCTTCCTTAACTCAGGTCTTCATTTGTGGACACACTGCTTGATTCCACATTTCAAATAATAATAATAGATCCTGAAAGATGAACTGATTTTTTTGCTGGATGTAAACTCCAAACTCACTAGCCAAACATGTTTGGTCTTATTTACACACTGGTAGTGGTTTTTTGTCTAACAGTATTTAGTCTGTAATTTATTAAGTCGCTAACAAATCAAGATATAAGCAAATAAATTGAATTCATGGTTTTTTTCTATATTGCTTATTTCTCAAGCTTTCTCGTTTGCTCAGTTATAGGGAAACAGCTTAATCCTTCTGAATACAAACAGAATATTTTAATCTTTACTAGACAAAAATATCTTTTTAAAGTACAGAGAATCTTTTAAATAGTTTAACTAATATGCTTTTCCAACAACAATGTAGTGTTCTTAAAGCATTTGACATTGCAAATCCATAAACAAATAAATAAATCTGCTGGTTTTAAACAGGTCAGAAAACTTGCTCTGAGTTACATAAAAATTGCTATTATTTCTGGTTTCATTGGTATTCATAGGAGACGTTGGGGGTTGTTTCTGAGGGATAAAGGAAGGTGGAGGCTGCCTTTTTATACAACGTGGCTGTAATTTGGTTTCACAGATTTACAGATTTTGCTTAAAGAAATGAAGGAGACTGAAAGGAAGATGCAACTGATTCCATTTGGAAGACTGAAAAGTGAAAAAAAAAAGTTGAGGCAAGTAAAAGCAAAGGAGGGAGAACAACTGAGTAAAAAATGGTTAATTCTGCGAGAATGACAGATGTATCTTCTGTATCTGTAACTCTTAAAAAGCATGATTTGTGAATGATCCATTTCAAGGTGCAGGGGAATGCAAAATAAATAAGATAATGCACTATAACATATGCATTTTTTTAGACTTGCCTTCTTCTGACGTAGCTTCAAAATAAACTACAGTAGTTTTCCTGTGAAGACTTCATTATATATGACAATGTAATTCAACAAAGATTTCAGTGACTGGAATGAAAATACAGACCATCAGTGGAGTGCAAGTGCATGAAGTTCTCTGATGTATATAGCAGGTTAGTTTAGATACAGAGGGCTGCTTTGCAGTAGCTCAGCAATAGCGTCTCAGTTTGCTGTATGTTATGAAGTGTCATTCTGACAGTTACCTATTATTGCGGGCTCCATACATAGATTTTTTACATCTCCCATAACAATGTTGTGTTGGAGTCATGCATAGACCTTTAATATAAGTGGACACAATACATTCCCATGGTTTTCAGACATCAGGAGGCTTCATAAAAATCACAGACTGTATGGCTACAGAGAAGTCTTACACAACATTAAATTATCTAGTATATTGATTTGAAAGAAGACTTGAATAGATCCAGGCCTTTTCTCTCCATAATGAGAAAGCAAACAACCACACAGAATTTAAACAGTTTAGAATGAAAGGATAATCCAGCAACTCTACGTAAAGGTCTGATAACAGACTCTACTCTGGCTTACTAGGGCACTTCACTCTGAGCTCTTCTATTTCAAAGTACAGAATGAGCAGCTGACTAAAGTGACAGCTATCTCAGAATCCTTGCAGATACTGCAAAATACTCTGGAGTATCCTTCTTTTTGTTGTTTTGCTTTGGTTTGTTTCTTAAATTGTCTAGAGACTCATTCCCACATTCAATCACAGAATCACCTTGCCACTTTCAAAATAGGGATCATAGTCACTTTAACCAGGCAAATCTGAAAGATGTGCCAGGAAGAGCATACCCATAGTTCAGAAGCCTGTGTCATAGGAATGGCTGCAGTGGACATGCCTGAGGTTTCTGAAGATTTTGCCTTTTATGTTGGGGGATATCCACAGATTGGGACAAATGTTCAATATCCTCAGACATCTTCAAATTTGATCTTTTGGCAGAAAAGAGAATATATTTGCAGAAATCTGGACATATGGCTGTGCTGTGTAAACCATCTATCCAGCCAACCATCTGTCCCAGTCATCTTAGAGACCAAGAGGGAGGAACAGTTTTTGCAGTTGTCTGAGGACATGTAGCATAACCTCTGTGTTCTACCTTCTGCAGATTAAAAATCTATTTTACTAAGTTGTATCACTTACTGTACAGCAAAATGAAATTAGTATTGTGGTTCTGGAAAAATAACACCTAAAACATGGTTTAGGTTAATCTGTCGTATGAGAAGTGGGATGGAGTCTCCTTCTTTAACCAATAAACAATTGCAGTAAATTGGTGTTTTAATTGTCTATGTACAATACTAATTCCTGCTTAGAGTGCAAGCAAAAATGAAAAAAGCAACAAGGTTCCATTTTGTATAAATAATCATAAAATTTTTCATTGGATTGAATTTCATGCATATAACATACTGTACATGCTGCAGCGTAAGACAGAAATACTGCTGTAGAATTTTTGCCTTGAGTAATTTGGTGGTTTTCCTCAATTTCTTCTTGCTTTTAATTGCTGTTTAAGTATTACATGCTTTGAACAGCTGAATAATGTTACAAGTTATTTTGCTGAATTGACATCCTAGCAAATGTGCTTTATCATCATGATACACACATTTGCTGATTATAGCACTCAACTTGAATATCAAAAGCTGCAAAAGTATTTTTAAGTTCTTTCTCTTTCCTCGCATCTTCAAGTATAGATTAAGGATGGTCATTATTTAGTCCTCTAGAGTCAACACCTATTTTTATTCCTATTTCATACAGTATGTTCTTTGTATTGGTGTAACAACAAGGTGACACTGCTTATGTTACTGTGTGAAGTCTAATTTGTTTCTCGTGGAAATTTTGAAATCTCTCAATGAAAACAATGACTTGTTTTCATCTTCAAACTTTACAGAATAGTTTTACTGTAAACACATAATATCTTTTCTTTCAGTGCAGAACTTTGCTGCTTTTGTGTCTAGCTTGATTATGTTCAATTAGTTCTATGTGTAAGTATTATATAGCATTTGATACATCTGTTTATTTAAATGTATCATTGCTTAATGTGGATTTTCACGTTTGCTGGGAGGGTTTAGGGTTTTGTTTGGTTTTTTTCTCTCTTCCTATATACCACTCAATGATCAGTCTGCAAGTTTTATTTTATAGTAATCAGAATTTTCAAGGCATGGAAATTGTGGGCCCCTGAAAGTTATTCTTCTTTTTGTATTATTTTATGTAAGTATGAACTTGATAAGACTGCACCAAACTTAATAGAAGATCATTGATTGGACATTGGCTTGGACTTTTAGTGAGTTGTCCTGGGTCTGATGTTACTGATTTCAAAGGATTATTTACAAGTAATTATTCAGATTGGAAGAAAGGAACTGAAAACCAGCTCTCTAATTGACTTCATCATGTTCCTTCAGTGGTGACTGTCCATCTGTTAATAAAGTTATCTTATTGTAAACAGTGAAAATCTGTAATACAGGAAACCACAT